ATATATTCTTACATGTTTATGAATCAAAAATTTTATAACAACTATGTTCAATCAAACAATATCCGCATTTTCATGCCAGTACAGAAGTACTGGCTATTTGGCTGGTGATACCCTAGGGGACTTATAGTCAACCAGCAGAGGGATCGACCTAGAGGAAGCATTTAAAAAAAAAACAACGATTCCAAATTTGCTGCACCTGATGCGAATTTCGGCTATTAATGTCTCCTCGTAAAGTTCAAGGTCAAAATAAGTTAAGAGACATAACGTTATTTCAAATGTTCTTAAGTCTTACTGATTTCATATGTAAAGAACTATATTTGAATTTGGTTCCAACATTTGACATACACTCTCAACCATGACAGATTCGTTGTCGAAAGCCAAAAATAAAGCAACAAACAATCAACAAAACAAAAAACAACAATAGAACAAAAAGGTCTCTCTGCACCATACAAATCTCGTCTAATCTCCCTAAGAAGATTAACCTCATGAATCTTCAAAACCTCATTTTTACTGAACAATTGGTTTTTTTTTGGAATACGTACCATTTAATTCTAAAAACAAATGAAGTCTCACTGAAGTATACCGTACATCTGCCTTTGGCTTTGATGATAAATTAAAAAGAAATTTATAAGTGTCATAGATACACTAACACTAAACAATTACAAATAGGAAATAAAATCTAATAATTGTTCAGAGAAGAATTGAAGGTCTTTCCACATTATATTTCTAGATAATTGATAAGAAGCTACTTTTGGTTTACTCAAAGTTACCATTGGTGTTCAATCATAGGTTTCTTCATACTGATTCAAAAAATATATGGTTTCTTTATACTTTTGACTTCAATACGGGAGATAAGTTGCTACATCCGAAAGTGTAATTTCTGGTCTCATATGATAGCTTTTTTTGCACTGATTAAAAATATATGGCATATATATACATTTGCCTCAAAAATTGGAGATAATTTGCTACTTCCGGTTAAGAAAATGTCATTTCCATCATCATAAGATAACTAACTTTCCACTGATTCCGAAAATGCAAGTTTTGTTAAGACTTTTCTCTAAAATAAAGGAGATAATTAGCTACTTCCGGTTTACAGAGAATGAATTTCTGTCATTAAAAGGTTTCCGTATGCTTACTCTAAAAATTTATAGTTTCTAAGTATTTGTTCCTAGAATTAGTGCAAACATAGGTACTTCCGGTTTGCACAAGGTCACTATCGAAGGTCACGTGTCATCCAACCCTTTGCAAATGACACTATAGGTTGCACTTTGTAAATACAGCTGTTTCTCAAACCACGCCTCTTTTGGGGAGATATATAAAATTCATAGATATGTTAATTTGTTAATGTACTGGTTCCCATTTATGATCTCTGTGTTTCATCTCATAGAGACATCACTTGGGAATGTAACCAGTATGGAAAAACATGGTAGCGCCTAAATTTTAATTCTTAGGAAGTCCAAATATGAAGGTAAGGGTAGAATAGAATTTTAGTATAAGTTTAAACTCTTAGAAGTTCAGGGCATATAAATGTTCAAAATATGCCGTACAGCCCTATATTTTGACCTTTGAATAAAATAGTAGTGCATATAAACTTTCCGTTCTGGGATATTATTTTTCACGAAACTTCATAGTAAAAGTGTCACAGTTTTAGCCGCAAAGGGAGTTCCTATGGGAAATTGCATTGTCTATATTTACAGAATTGCAACCTATATAGGGTTTAAAATAGAACATACAGAATTCCACAAAATCTGGTTTATCTCAGAGATTTTAAAGAATTTAACTCAAATATGAAGTTTTATAAATATTTCATGAAGATTGAGAAAATCCTGAGCCTTAACTATGATGACTCAGCATAAATTCACAGTTTACAGTATGCATGGTTTACTTAAAGCCCTGAATTCAAAATAAATTCATAATATATGCCTGTTTGTGATTTAAATTGTTTAGAAGTGCTTATATTTACTCTTCGCAGTCATTGCAACTCATTGATCCTTCCTAATAATTTTGTTGGGTTATTTTTGTCCTGTCGATAACCACAAAGTTAGCCGTAACACCTAAATGTGTTTTTTTGTGACCGCGGCATTCAAAAGTACAAGCTAGAATTACAAAAAGACCTCAATAAAACTTACAATAGTGTGTTCTATCCTAAATATATACTAAATACTCCACATTGCTAGAAACAGGGAAAATATTTAGGAAATGTGAGGCCCCAGGGGGCAAAAAACAGAAAAAAAAATGCATACCCTGGGTCATAAAACAGATAATTTAACTTGTAAATGCTATGATTTTATTATTTTCAAGGTCTTTTCTAAACAAAACAATAACTGTGCTGGAAAGTTATGCAAAAATAAGATGTAAGCAGTCATTTCTATCAAACTTTTAGTGAATTTATGCACCAGACTGATATCTTCTTAAATACAATTTTGCAAATATGGCTTTGTTTAGACACTTCTAGTTCATACATTAACTAACTTATGTTAGTTATATGGTTAGAGATGATACTGTTGTGACAAGAATTCTTAACTGACCATTTGAGACAGAAATTGTGAACTTTCATTGACAAATAGGCATACAGTAAGATGTGGACTGGAGACACAGGCAGGATTGGATACTTTGTATAATCTTGAATGTTGGAATGATTAACTACTTAACAATACATTTATAGTATTCTAAAATGCTTTCAATTTGTTATCAGAATAGCTTCAAACATGTTTTAGACATTTCATGTCAGAAAACATGCACATAGGGTAAGCTGGCAATGATTAAAGTCTTGTTTTCAAATTCTTTAAAAAACTGAAACAGGGGTAGGGGTATAAAATGTACTGTAAAAGGAAACTTAGAGTATATGCAGTGATTTCCTTAAGGCTATAATTCTGATAAATAAGTATTGCTGTGAGAAAAAGTGTTTTTAGAAGGTTTTCTATTTGAATAAATGTTTGTATAGGTTGCACTTTGTAAATACAGCTGTTTCTCAAACCACGCCTCTTTTGGGGAGATATATAATATTCATAGATATGTTAATTTGTTAATGTACTGGTTCCCATTTATGATCTCTGTGTTTCATCTCATAGAGACATCACTTGGGAATGTAACCAGTATAGAAAAACATGGTAGCGCCTAAATTTTAATTCTCAGGAAGTCCAAATATGAAGGTAAGGGTAGTATAGAATTGTAGTATAAGTTTAAACTCTTAGAAGTTCAGGGCATATAAATGTTGAAAATATGCCGCACAGCCCTATATTTTGACCTTTGAATAAAATAGTAGTGCATATAAACTTTCCGTTCTGGGATATTATTTTTCACGAAACTTCATAGTAAAAGTGTCACAGTTTTAGCCGCAAAGGGAGTTCCTATGGGAAATTGCATTGTCTATATTTACAGAATTGCAACCTATAGCTTTATCATGTACCAAAATGAAGTCATATTCGATTTACCTTAAATTTTCACATTTTTGGGGTAATAACTACTTTAAGATATCATCAGATCGCTTCGGACTGAATTTACAATTTCTTTGTCACAACAACACAAACAATTAACACCATTTCTTTTATATCTAACTTAAATTAGATAAGATGTACACACATGCAAGGGTAAAATTTAGAAAATGACCTTGATCTTTGACTTTGACACCATTTTCTTTTTGGTGGATCAAGGATTTCAAATCAAGATACCCTAGGTTTCTTACAGTTACGATTCATGAGTTACATTTATATATCACTTATGTCAAATACAAAAGGGCATATAACTCTCATATGGAGTCTCAGTATCGCTTCGGTTAAAACTAATCGAATCAAACTGAGGATTTAACGAGAAATTTGTAAAAATGAATTATCGTTTATTTTACGGTTGTGAAGGAGATGCGTACACAAGAAAAATAGTCTTTGGGGAGATAACTCTTACAATAAAACGTGTTCGGTTAAACAGTGCGAGTTTCAAACGCTCAATGACTGTTCGATATCATATGCACAAAATATAAGCAGAAAAGTGGAAAGACCCAATAGTATGTAAGAAAATCGATTGCAAACCAAATTAGGAAACATGTTTCTACAGGAAAATCAAAGACAATCTTCATAAAACAAAGGTAATCCTACAAGGGAAAAGAAGCTGCTAATCCGACAAAGTATAAATTCTAATTCGATTCGTTTGTAACGATGATTTTCATTGGACCTTTACACATATTTTTAAGGTTAAGATTTCACGTTCTACCAGTTCGTAACTAATGACCGGCTACCATTTTGAATTCCAAAGCCAAAATATTTACTAAATTTATTTTAATATGTGGCATTAGAATGGAGATAAATGTATTGTATACTAAGGATGGTCTTCGTAAAACTTGATTTTACTTCCTAATATCCGTTTACCGAGCTCCGGTACACGTCGCTAGATAAACTAAATTTGAGACAGTAAAATCTACGTTTTACAAAAGCCAAGATTAAAATTAATACAACACAGTTATCTCCGAAGTAAATCACATGCGTGCTACAGTACTGCATTGTTACATGTTATATAAAATATGGAGCTATATGGTAGATTGCCAATGAAACAACTATACAACATCAACCACAAGAGGCAAATTTAAACAACTATAGGTTACTATACGGCCTTTGTCAATAAACAAAACCAACGCAGAACGGGCATATTTTAAAGGCCCCGAGATGACAGAATGTGAATAAATTCAACTAAAATATAACAGCCTGATTTATGACAAAACAATAAACGAAACATAGATAGAGCAGACACGTATTATAGAAATACACATTGGATTTTTTTCTTTCTTTCTTAAAGGAAACACAAAAATTCGGATTCTAATTGTGGTTGGGAATGAGGCTGAGATGAATACGGCAGCACAACTCTTAAACAAAATGAAACACGAAATAAACCAAGGCTTGGTTGGTATAGAACTGAAGGAGGCATATACTGGAAGCGTTGTGCTAGATGTTCATATTGAAGTCAAATATTTGGAAACAGATACAAAGTTACAGTCCGTATTAAGTCGATTTATGGAAAGACTACTTCATTTGGGAATTCTAAAGCCGTATCAATCTACGTCTGTTGAAGCTGTGTTGATTCCTACTGAAGGTTTGTTAAAAATATGTACAAATCACATTAAATGTATCAATCTAATTAAATGTATAAATTACATAATATATATATTTTACAGCATCATATGCTCGTGTCGCTGATTTTTGTCTCGTCGTTGATATGCAAGGGCAAAACAGTTGAAATCATAAACCTAATAAAGCTGTTGAATATCTGATATACTAATCGAAAAGGAAATTAAAAGTATAGCAAAAACCGGACAATAAATGAGAGCCTCCTCATACCATTGTATTAATTCTGAATACATGTCATTCAAATAAGAAAGGAGCAGACTATACTAATTAATATAATCTCTAAGCAAAAAAAGGGATCCTTGACAAAATGTAAAAAGAATTGATCAAAACTATTTTTTTACAAAGAAAGGAGATTTGAGTTTTAATTATAGAACCCCAAAAAAATTATTAGTTCATTTGTGTATTATTTTCTTTAATTGAAGAATGCATCACAGACCTACTATCAAAAAAGAATGAAAGCCTATCAACAGAGTTAGATATTTCATTACTTAATCTTCGCTTTGAAGTAGACGCAAAACTGTTTGAAACAGATGAAAGTTTGCAATCAAATCTACTGGAAAGTGTAACAAATGTTTTAACAAAATCTAATTTGGAAGAAAAGCAAAAAGATGTCACTGCCACATTGTTATCTATAAGTAAGTTATTATTACCTTTTATCATATTTAAGCGTTAGCACAATCTCTATGAGAAAGGTACATTAATTACTTCTTTTGGTAACTTTATATAAATGAAAGTTCACCAAAGATCAAAGGCTTTTACTTTAAAACACCAGACGCGCGTTTCATACGAATAAGACAATTGAGTGATGCTTCAAATAAAAAAAGATTGAAGGCCAAATCAAGCACAGAGTTGAAGAGTATTTGAAAAATAAAACCAAAAAAGTAACATGAGTAATGAAATATACAACAGAGGTCAATTTCGCCTCCAGCTGGAAGATTATTAGTGTTTCGAATAATTCAACATTTTTCCAGCAGTTAATTAATAAAAATGACTGTATCAAAGATATTTCATGCCAACAATGAAGTGCTGACGACTTAGTTGGTGATACCTTCGGGGATGAAATGTCCACCAGCAGTGGCACCACTCTAAAAAAAACTTACTTAGTGTCTTTACTTATTTTAAATAAAATATTACTGATGAATTTCCTTACAGTTACCTACTACAACAGATTATTACTAACTACTCTTTTGAAATCATTTTAAATCATTAAACGGATATTTTTACAAACTTTCTTGAAAACTAAATGTCTAAGTTAAAAACAAATGTTTTAGATTTAATACAAAAACTTCGGTTTACTGAAATGAAGCAGCAAAGTTAGATACTACCATATGTAATTGAAACGGCATGGGAAAGACTAAAATGGATCTTTAACTTTCCTCATTTGAAATTCTTTTCATTTTTCCCCATGAGTTCGTATCTTCTTTCACTATTTAAGACATTTCATTGGAAACGAATGACCTGTAGATGTTCTATTGTTTGGTTACTTTCTCTCATTGACATTTGCCATACGTCTGCTTCTTTTTAATCGAATGTGCTCAGTCCTTAGGTTTGCTTGTATTGTTATGTTATTGTTGTTTGTACTTTCGTCGGTTTTATTTGAACCATTACTATGCCTTGGTGTCCCTAAACTTTTTACAATTATTTTCCTCTGAAACTACTCAAAAAAAAGTAAAATCACAAAAATACTGAACTTCGAGGAAAATTCAATCGGAAAGTCCCTAATCACATGGCAAAATCAAATGACAAAACACATCAAACGAATGGACAACAACTGTCATATTCCTGACTTGGTACAGGCATTTTCAAATGTAGAAAATGGTGGATTGAACCTGGTTTTATAGCGCTAAACCTCTCACTTGTACGACAGTCTTATCAAATTCCGTTATATTTACAAACCAATTTCAACCAAAACAAGTTTAAATGATCTTTACTATGTACATTTTCTGTTTGATACGAAATTGGAGTTATTGCTCTTAAATGGCTCTGTTTTGGCGTTTTGCTCATTATCTTGAAAACTATTATAGAATTGAGAATGAAAACGGGGAATGTGTCAGACACAACAACCCGACCAAAGAGCAGAAAACAGTCCAAGACCACCAATGGGCCTTCATCACAGCGAGAAAATTCCACAACGAAGGCGATCTTCAGCTGGCCTTTAATTAAAACTTGTGTATTAGTTCAGCGGAAATGAACCTCACACTAAACTTTGAAACATAAATGAACCAAAATTAATAAAAGCTACACAAGCCTAACAAAGACCTGCCTTGGGACAGAAAGAAAATATTTTAACTGTTTATTGAGAACTTTAAAGGAAACAAATATCAGTTAGAGAAGATTAACAAATAATTAAATTATGGATGTAACACGTCTTCTGATTGGCTAAAAGTGTTTTATCTATCAGCACATACATAATTTTGTCATATGACCGTGACGTCATCAACGTTTTTCATAATTATATGGTCATTTATATAATTAGTTATCAAAGGTACCAGGCCTGATATAAATTTCATGTTTACAAAAGTATGAATTTTTCGAAATACTAAGGATTTTCTTATCCTAGGCATATATTACCTTAGCCGTATTTGGCACAACCTTTTGGAATTTTGGGTCCTCAATGCTCTGCAACTTTGTACTTGTTTGGCTTTATAACTGTTTTGATCTGAGCGTCACTGATGAGTCTTATGGAGACGAAACGCGCGTCTGGCGTATTAAATTATAAGCCTGGTACCTTTGATAACTATTTTCATAATTTACTCTTTATAAATTAAATTTTTTAGTGTGCACTACGTTTTTTATGTTGTTTCTTCTTAGACAGAAAAAATATTACAGTCATTCCCTAAATAAAATATTTGTGAGCCTTTTATAGATGAATATGCGGTATTGGTTTTGCTGATTTTGGAAGGCTGTATGGTGACCTATAGTTGTTAACTAAAATGTGGTGGAGAGTTGTCTCATTGGCAATCATACCACATTTTCTTATTTTTATAACATGTTCGTAACGGTTAGTAGTCTACTTATATGAATAACTGCCCTTATAAGACTATTTTGCGTTTTTGCCATTATCTTGAAAATAATAATATATATAATAAAACTGTATGCAACGACCATTTTAATCAAGAAAAGACTATAAATATGTAAAGAATGACCAAAGTTAATATTTTTGGCAATTTTTCTTTTATCTTGAACACTATAGGTTGCACTTTGTATATACACAAACCGCGCCTCTTTTGAGGAGATATTATAAGTTATATGGTCACCTGCTGACCGGATCCATAGAGGGTTAGTAAAATCCATAGGGGTGAGGTCGAAGGCCGAATATCCTATGGATTTTACTCACCCTCTATGGTCCGTAGGGGGTCAGTAGTGAACCGTTTAACGAATTCATCGCACGCTGGACTTTCCTTGTGCGTTTTGTAGAAAAATAAACAATGAAATACAACATCAGTGGATGACGTCACCATTAGCAGTAGACGTGACGTCATGAACGACATATGAAATTAACTTACCCCATACGGATCCATAGGTGGTCACCGCGTGACTGCGTTAAACCAATCACAACCTCATAATTTACCCGCGGTGCGATAAATAATATTCATAGATATTTTGTTTTATATACCTACTGGTTCCCAGATATGATATCCTTGTTTCATCTCTTAGAGACATACTTAGAATGTTACCAGTAAATATACACATGCATACCTGTAAAGTTGAAATCTGTGGAAGACCCAAAGTGAAAGGAGGGGTAGTACATAATTTTAGTATAAGTTTACACTCTTAGAAGTTCGGGGCATATAAATGTTGAAGATAGGCCGCACAGTCCTATATTTTGACCTTTGAAAAAAATAGTAGTGCATATAAGCTTCCCATTCTAGGATATAATGTTTTACGAAACTTCATAGTAAAAGTGGTACAGTTTTAGTCGTAAAGGGAGTTCCTATGGGAAATTGCATTGTCTATATTTTCATAATGGCAACCTATAATAGACAGAGAAGAACTGTCGACAATAAATATGATCAAAAGGACAAGATCTACAAGAAAATCTAAATGACTGAAACGTCATTTGATCTCTGAAACATTTAAAAAGAGTTTGCTCCCGGTTCAGATTTTTTATTGCAATTGCCATTTTCCTGTCTTGCGTCTGTCACCGTTGGTCGTAAACTTTCTCTGAAACTTAAGAAATTCAAAGAGCCTACCAGGACAGGTCGAAATAACATTAAAACATTACATGAAATATCTTTTGATTTCTATTTTAAGAACAGGTGAAAGGAATTAAATAATAGCAAACCATGCAGCTGAAAATGATTTGAAAGAACTTACCTTGTGTTATATCATTGTTTCGATTTAAAGCCAACTTCTGCTATTTGGGAAAAAATGAATTCAGATGTTTGATTCAGGCTACTTGGAGTTTCAGCCTTGATCACATTAAATATTTAATATAAATAAATAAGATAATGCAAAGAACTACATCTGTTTTCACGCGTGATCGCTTTGCTTTTGTGAAACGTTATGAGCAACAACATACATTGACAACAGCTATTTATGTTTGACGTTCTAATTTGGTTAAAATACTATTGGTAACTATATACGGTTTCTGGTTCGGTTTATTGTTTTAAAGCAAATTTAAAGTAAAATGGGGAGAAAAATTGGCTCAGTAGTCAGTACTGACATGATGTTTAATAAAATTTACGTAAATTACCCGTTGGGACATTAAGAAATAATTACGAAACAAAGCTTTCAACTATTCTCTTTTTCTTACTTCCTTAATCCTGTTGCCCCTTGGTGGAGCATAGGCCACTAACGATATTTCTCCACTTTGTTCTGTTTTTTTGCTAGCCTCTCCAGATTATGCCACTTGTACCCTTCTTTCACCATCTCGACTACAACGTTTCTTCTCCACGTGTATCTTGGTCTGCCCTTACCACGCTTCCCTTGTTGGTTCCACTGTAAGGCTTGCCTTGTAATGCTGTTATTTGGCTTTATGACTTATATTCTAAAGAAATAATGAAGAACGTCTTCACATAACGAAATCTTTACCTAAACTACATAAGATCACAAATATCGTCGCTAAGTAGCGACGTCGAATATACTGTTACATAATTATCGCACTAAACGACGTTAAGACGTTTACCAATTATAAGAAAATGTCTTTAATAAAAGAAAGCAATTTACAACATGTTGGGGCCTCAAAATGAGTTTACTGTTCATATTTCAAGAGGGACTATTTTAACAATCGGCCGTGTAGTAATAAGTCCATTTGATGTGAGAATCTTTGCAGCACGAAAAAGTCCATCTAATCCTGTTATCACATCTTCTGTAACACCTAATTTCCACATTGTTCTTGGCGAAGTGTCCATGATAAGAACTACAGAGCCGATGTCCACATGTGTATAGATATGTCCTGTCACACGGTGATACGCTCTCAGTCCGGTATGGTATTCAATTCTCCACAGTTTACAAAAATGTTCTATGAAAGTTAGTTTTCGTGGTAATAGTTCCTTTGCTTCTGTTGATGCTATCATATTGTCCTCTGTGTTTATAAAGTTTTCCGGTGATATTCTCCTCCCTTGTAATACATGTGACGGTGTCAAAAGCTCTGGATATCGGATATCCTGCGAAATGTACGTTATTGGGCGAT